GCGTGTGCACATGGAGCTCCCTAATGCCAACAAGCCGGAACAACGGCGGGCGAGGCTTCAGGGAGGGCAGGCCTCACCTGAGCTCACGTGGACACAAACAGCTTTGTTTGCAACTGGCTTTTGTACAAGTTCCACTCACATCACCAACATCACTGACTCACTACTGTACATCAAAGCCTGGGAAAGAGAGAATAAAACAGGCCTGGATTTAAGAGTCAGCTGCAGGTCACTAATTTGAGCTCTGCAGAGGCGTAGGCGGCAAGCAGGATGTCTACCAGTGGGAGGGACACAATAAAGGGGTTCTGGGTTCTAGGCTGTGATACTGACTCTCCTTTCAGCTCTGGCCTGCCCTCACACAACATCAATGCTGGCAGCTGTGTGTCTCTGCAGTCACATCTGAGATGAAGTTATAAAGCAAGCTTCAACCCCATGCTAACTGCACCAGTCTGAACCAAGGCAAGAGCTGTGCTGGGATGATTTCCATTAGATTAATTTAGTCCAGTAAGTATGCATAATAATCAAGATATAGCTTCAGTAAACGCCTCGCTAGGTCAGGATACAGCTTCGGTAAGCGCCTCACTAGGTCAAGAGCCCACTTTGCTGGCTCAGCATCCCTCTCAGCTTGTTTACAGTGACCGATACCTGCCGCCCAGTCGATGCTGACTCACAGTGACCCTAAAGGACAGCAGAACTGCCCTGTCCTGTTTCTGAGGCTGTCATCTTCATGGTGTTGTAGGGTCAGCACTGGACTGTGAACCACAAGGTCTGTGGTTCAAAACCACAGTTGCTCCTTGGAAACCCTATACAAGGTCGCAATGGGTTGGAACCAACTCGACGGCACTTTACAGCAACAATAATGATAGAAGAAGACTGTCACTGGTCCCATGGAGTGGCTGGTGGGTCTGAACCATCCGAGTGCTTAACCACTGTGTCACCAGGCTCCTACCATCTATATTTACAGAGTGCTCATATGTGCCAGGCAGGCTCTGTGTCTTCTACACACACTATCCCACTTAATCCTCACAACAACCCTACATACAAGCCAGGTCCAGTTATTACCCTCACTTAACCTCTGTAAAAACGGCCGCACCCAGGTTCAGCAGCTTGTCCAAGGCTGCGCAGCAATGAATGGCAGAGGCAGGATTTGACCCCCAACATTTTGGTTCCAGAGCCCTGGCTTCCAGTTCCACCCCACACGACCGACATGTATCAACTTACTGCCCCGTCTTTAATGAAAGTGTGGCACAGGTCTGCAATTTTATTTCTTGACAGCGATATTCTCCGGAGGAAAAGCTCTCCCCTCTCAATCATGATCTTTTTACATTTGGAGTAATCCTAGGGAGAAGAGAGCAAAGTGAGGGGAGGCGGAGGGAGGAGGCGAAGCTGAGCATCTCTGTGCGCAGACAGGGAAGAGGCAGGGTGGTGCTTACAGAATACTCCAAGGAGGTCAGGCTGATGAAGCGCAGGAAGAGCTCCCCACCGGAGGACACTGCCACGGAGGAGTCGACGCCGCACAGCGTTTCTATGGCGCTGGTGAGATTGGCTCTCAGGCCCTGGATTGTCTCCCCTGGAGTGAGCACATGGGGAACGGCAGAGTCATTTGGGCCCCACGGTCCCTGCAGGGGACTAAGATTCAGTAGTCCCTTGTGTAACTATTGAGTGGGTGTGCATGTGAAGTCAGGACTGTCCTAATGGTGGGGACACCTCAGCAAACAAGAAATACTGGTCCCTGCTCGCTGGTGGGACTGTACACAAACACATAAAAAGCTTGTGAATTACAGATTGAATGGGGACAGAAAGAAAGTTGCATGAGAGTGGTAGAGCTCCTTAAGGCAGGGTGGTCTTCTGGGGGGCAGTGGTGGTGTTTAAACTGAGACTAGACTAAGGACAGATCCAGCCCCATAAGGATCTAGTGGGGAAAGGTTCTAGGCTTAGACTAGACCAAGGCAAAGTCCCAGTGATGGGAACAAACTCAGCATGAGAAACAAAGAGAGGCCAGCAGAGTTCAGGGAGGGACAGCAGGGAAAGGAGTGGCGAGCAGAGACACAGAACTGCACGGCGGTGTAGGTGAGGCTGTAAGGACAAGCACAAGACATTGGAGGCTGTCTTACAGATTTATCTCCAGTCAGTCCTCTTGAGAGCTTTTTTAAAAAATTACTTTCCTTACACAATGCCATACTATACTTAAATGCTGGTGGCACTGTGGGGTAATGCACTGGACTTCAAGGTTGGTGTGAAACACAAGGTTGGCGGTTCAAGTTCAACAGCCACTCATACAGGGTCGCTATGAATTGTAAACGAATCAAAGTCACTTAACAACAAACAATAGCATAGCTAAGTGCTGACATTTAGGATGTTCAAATTAATAGATCACAATGACATTAATGCCAGAATCTATTCCAGGAGATTCTCTCTAGCAGCTGCAGAGAGTCAGGCACAGGGTAAATGTTCCATAAACACTTTATGGCTGAACTAGTGCAAGATTATCAACTTCAAGGTTACCTTGATATAACAGAGTTCTATCATGGGGTGGCGCTGGACAATCAGCACTGGACTGCTAACTGAAAGGCTGCTCCTTGGAAATCCTATCCAGGGTCTCTCGGAGTTGAAACTGACTTAATAGCACTTAGCACAACTCTGATGGAAGGGAAGTTTACTAATAAATGGGGTTCTTTTGCCAGTAAGTTTGTTAATGGGGGAGTAAGAATTCAGAAAAGGCAGGTGAGACTATGGCTGACGAATGTGATCCGTGTCACTGAAGGGCATGTGGGGAAACTGTACAATCAGTCTATGTTCTGCTGTGGACATTCTCAGCAACAACTACCCAAACAAATTCACATTAATAAAAGAATTGGAAATAAAATGGCTAATACTCTAAGTTAAACAAAGGCAGGGAGGGCACTTTGTTGATAAAAGAGTTTCTACGAGTTAAAAGGAAAGCTTAAATGAAGGCAGATGGTGAGTTTGGCGCTGTAAGAACTGAGACAGGCACGCACATGTCTCACTTTCAATGCTTCTAACAGTTATCAGAAGCCATTCCTAAGGTACCACGTGTGCGGATGCTTGCCCCCTACCTTTATCTCTCTTCAAGAACTCCAGCAACGTCCGGATGGCAGCCACTGCTGAAGCCATGTCAGGATCGCCTTTCATCTGGGACTTAAAGTATTCAATTAACTCTGGGAAGAGAGAAAAAAGTGACGGATCAAACTTGTTTAGCTGGAGATAAGGCCAGAGAGTTATTCATTAATTAATGTTAACCTGAAGAAAAAAGGACCCTGCTGGTACAGTGGTTTAACACTCAAATGCTAACTAAAAGGTTGGTGGTTCAAACCCATCCAGCAGATAGATCCAGGGAGAGAGCTGGTGATCTGCTCCTGATGGCCTAGAAAACTCTGTGGGGCAGTTCTAATCTGTGCCATGGGGTCACGTGAGTTGAAATTGACTCTACCCAGCAATAACAGACTTCAGAAACAAAGTCACGTGAGAAATACTTTCTTTTAGTGGCTTTGGTTATACGCAAACTTCGAGGGCGCAATCAACGTTCATGCAAACAGACATGCTATCACTCTCCTGTCTGCAGGCTTTCTTCCTCTCTCATTTTGAAAGGTTATCCATGGCCTGTGGGATAAAATTCAAGCTCTGCTAAAAGACAGTGAAAATTCGCTCTCCCTCCTATCCTCTATTTCAAGTCCTAGAAGACTGTGAGCCAACCATCATTACTACTGTCTTCTACATCCTTACAGGGTGAATGCAGGCTAGTTCAAGCATATTCACATACTGGCAGTTCCCCTGCTACCAATGACCAATTTACCTAGAACCTCTAGTTAAGAACCAACTCTGGGAAAGCCTACTATAAAAATCCGAGGTACACACAATGGTTTGTAATAACAATCAGATGCTATTTTGCAATGTGCATCAAACATTATTATTACCGTGTAATTATGTTAAAGATGTTTCAGTGTATGGAAGTGTGTGGTGTTTTTTTTTAAATGCATACTTAAGTACATGCTAGCGTAGTGGTTACGAATCGGGCTGCGAACCTAAAGGCCAGCAGTTCGAAACTACCAACCACTCCGCGGGAGAAAGATGAGGCGTTCTGCTCCCGTAAAGATTTACAGCCTCGGAAACCCTGTACAGGGTCACTATGAGTCGGAACCGACTCGAAGGCACTTAACAACAACATATACTAAGACAAATGCCTGAGTAACTGACGCTAGATACAAACCATACTTAATTTTTCTGACTTTGCTACACACTTGAATGGCACTCTACCGCAGTCCAGGGGTTGCCTGTATTACACATATGTATGTAGGGTTCCAACAAAATTATTTTTTTCCATGAAAGGGAGTATATACATTTAGCTTGCCGCTTGGTTTCCAGTTTATAAACTACCATCAAAACCGTCTTAGTGGAGTATGTCAGTTACGCCTTGCTCTTCAGATTGTAACAGATGCAATAGGTCAGAGTCTTGTTGCTATTTCACACGTGAAAAAAGTTAGCGTTCGAGGGCCTGCACACTTCGTCTAAAGTCTTTCTGTTTTGTTGGCTGGACATGGGAAGGGACGTGGAGAAGGGGCGTCTGGGGACGCTCAGCGCGATGTAGTATGTACTGCAGAAAGCACCTTCTTCTTTAAAGAGCCCAGTGCGGGCGTGCGAGATGGGGAATCCCGCCCCGTTTTAGGCCCAGCACCCCCGTCCCTCCCCGCTTCACTTTACCCTTATTGTCCATCGTGCGCTTCGGACAGCGAAGTCCGAGACGACGTAAAAATCCCGCTCAGCCTCGATGGTTCCCGCGAGTGTGCCGGGTCCAAGCCAAAGAGTCTGACAGCGCGCGGCGCCGCTCTGATACTGCTTCCGGTGCGCCGGAGACGTGACCACGACTACGGCGCGCGTCTTTGGCGAAACAATTACGTCACTGGGCGGCGCCGGAAGTCGAAGCCTGCGGGTTCCGGAGCTTAGATAAGTTACTGCTGACGCAGCGCGGAGAGGTTGGGATCATCATGGTCTCGGACGGTGAGAGAGGAGCAAGATGACTGTACTAGACCAGGACCGGCCAAATGGAATGCAGCTTTTGGGCTGGGTGGGACGTGTATTTGGTTTCTAGAGGAATAGCGGATGCATTCATTTATTCCTTCACTCAGTAAATATGGAGCGCCTACTATGTGCGACTTCTGGTGTGGCGCTGTAGGATCAGCCTTGAACTGCGAACCACAAGGTCGGCAGTTAAGACCCACCAGCTGCTCTTCAGAAACCTTATACAGGGTCGCTGTGAGTCGAAACTGACTCGACGGCTCTTCATAACAACAGTGTGCTAAGCATTATGTTATGTGTTGGGAAGACAGCAGAGAACACGATTGTTGTTGCATTCCAGTGGTCGAGACAGGCAGTAAGCAAGTAGATAGACGTAATTTCAAGGAATGGCAAGAGCCAAGAAGATAGTTGGATGATGTGGTAGGCAGTGCCTAACCGGTGAACGAGCAAAAACTACTTTACATAGTTCAGGGAAGACCGTGATGTTTCAAACTACTCTTAAGCATTTGCTGAAGGCTTGCATTCCAAGTGCAAAGACCCTGGGCTGGCCAAGTCGGGTATAACAAGATGGGCAGGCATTTACTTATACATTAAACTGTCAGCCTGATGACTTAGGATGGCTGGAGCAAAGTGAACTGAAGATAGTGTTAGAGGATGAGACCAGATAGCTTCCAGGGCCAGATCAAGCAGGACCTTGTAGCTTGAGCTAAAGCTACTGGGTGCAGACCCCAGCAAAGGAAAGTTATGAACTGATTGACATATTTGAAAGATCACTCTGCCTGCAGTGTAGAAAATGTGGGTGCCAGAGTAGAAACCAGGAGACCCATTCTGAAGTTTGTAAAAATTGTCGGTCCTTCCTGGATCTGTTTTAATGCAAGACACATCCCTAGAGGTGAACCACCCCAGCTTTGTTATCTTAGTTATAGCTGAGAAGGTGGTGACCCAAAGCAAGAAACTCACAATCATTTTAGATGGGCTGAAACACACAACTCCGCACAGGCAATGTGCTGTCTTTTTCTCAGGCTGTCCAGTATAATGGTCCTTAGAATTGTGAGGTGGAACCTGGTGAGGAACAAGGCTAATGACATGGGTGGAACAGACTGGGCATGTAGGAGAGACAATTTTTAACTGCTGTTTCTGTGCTGGGCACTTTATTGTATGAATTATATTATTATTTCATTTATCCCTGGAGTAGCAAAAATAATTCTTTACGGACTTCACAGTCCAGTGGGCAGGATTTGGGAGAGAATGGAAACACAACTAACTGTAATCTGAGGTGGTGTCATTAAATGCCCTCCAGTTTGTTCCAACTCACAGCGACCCTGTAAAGGGTTTCTAAGGAGTGGCTAGTGAGCTTGAACCGCCAACCTTGTGGTTCAAACCAACCTTGCAGTCCAGCGCATTAACCCACAGCACCGCCCAGGACTCCTATAACATGAGGTAGTGAGTGCTAAACATCAATAGAAGAGGGTTCTTTGGGCTGCTGGTGATCAGAGACATTAAGTAGGTTAATGAAAAATCACAGTCGAAAGTCAAGCAGATTGTGGGCTTTGTTTGCCAGTTGCGAGCAGGCCATGTGACTGAGCAACTTCCTTTTTAAAAAAAAAAAAAATGAAAATACGATATTTCATATAATCTGAGACAACATGGACTACAAACTGTTATTATTTTATGTACCAGTAGAGACAAAGCTGCACCCGTAAAGATCTGCAGCTTGGGAAACCCTATACAAAGTCGCTAGGAGTCGGAATTGACTCCGTGGCAGTGACTGAGTTCAGAGAAAACACGTTAGGAGCCCTGGTGGCGCTGTAGGATAAGTGCCGGACTGCTAACCACAACGTTGGTGGTTCACACCTACTAGTCACTTCATGAGAGAAAGATGAGGCTGTCTGCTCCGGTAGCCTCAGAAGCCCTGTGCAGGGTCCTTGTGAATTACGCCTTGGAAGCCCTATGCAGGGTCCTTGTGAATTGGAATCCATTTGATGGCAGTGGGTTTATTTATTTGTTTATTTTTTTAAAGAGAGAAATCATGCTACCAATTTTTAAAGTATGCCATCCAGAGTTACAAGTAAAAAAAAGGTGATGGGGGATATCTTATCAAAGATAATAATTACATGTCCCTTGTTGGGTTGGTATTAAGGATAAAATGGAATTTGTTGTTAAGTACTGTGGAGTCAGTTCCGACTCATAGTGACCCTGCACAGGGTTTTTGATGCTGCACATCTTTACAGGAGCAGAAAGCCTTATCTTTGTCCTGCGGAACAGCTGGTAGTTTCAAACTGCTGACCTTGACGTTAGCAACCTGATTCGTAACCGCTACGCTACCAGATATGCCAATGCCTGATGCAGAGAAGGCTGGCATTCCTTCTTCCCTGACAAGAGGCACCCAGGACTTCCTGCTGGAAGACCTGGAAGGCTTTTGGAAGAACAGGGAAGTATTGCTTTGGGTCCTTGGATTTGTCAGACATGTTCTCCTATGATACAAGGAAGAACACAGTGGCATGGAGGAGGAAGAGGGAGAAAGCACATTGGTACAGAAAGGAGGCACGTGCTTGCTGAGGACCCATTAAGCTTTAAAATTTTCAAAGAACGTTAACCTCATGATTGTAGGCTGGTAACCATATGGAATCACTTACTGGTACTTGCTCTGATTTAACGTACTAATGGAGAATGTCAGCGTTGATTCACTGTCCTGAGACTAACACCTTTTTGTTACTGTGATTTTCAGAAGATGAATTGAATCTTCTTGTCATCGTAGTTGATGCCAACCCAATTTGGTGGGGAAAGCAAGCATTAAGAGAATCTCAGGTAAGACTGCGTTAGGAAGCTGCTCTATGGCTGGCTGGCTGTGTGCCCTGGTGCCGGTGCCGACTTGTAGCGACCCTATACAGGGTTTCCAAGGCTGTAAATTTATACGGGAGCATAACGCCTCATCTTTCTCCCGTGGAACAGCTGGTAGTTTCCAACTGCTGACCTTGCGGTTCACAGCCTGATTTGTAACCACTACGCTAATGAAGGATATATTTATGTTGTTTTAAAACACAACAACAGCCGGTTTATTAAAATGCAATTTACAGACCATAGAATTCACACACTGTGCCTGTGTGCAGTCAGTCTCTGCTTCCTTCTCAAGTTGTGGCAGCCACTGAGCTGCTTCTTGCTGCACTATTGGCTTTTCTGAGCATTTTATATATCGAGTCCATATAATACTGGTTGTTGTTGTTGTTGGTGTGTGCCGTAGAGTCGGTTGCAACTCACAGCGACTCTGTATAGGGTTTCCAAATCTATAAATCTGGGGTGGTTGGGGGTGGTGGTGGTGGTGTGCCGTGGAGTCGCTTCCGACTCATAGCAACCCTGCATAGAGTTTCTGAGGTTGTAAATCTTTACTGGAGCAGAGAGCCTCATCTTTCTCCCATGGAACGGCTGATAGTTTTAAACTACTGTTCCTGAGGTTAGCAGTCTGATTCATAACCACTACACTACTGTGCGTGCTAGTAATTTTGGAGGAGGGGCATTTCTGCGCCCGTTTTTAACTGTGTGTCTTAAACTTTTCAAAGCGTGACCTTGTTATTTGGATAGATAACTCATTTTTCTTATGTTTTCCCACAGTTCACTCTATCAAAATGCATAGATGCTGTGATGGTGTTGGGAAACTCCCATTTATTCATGAATCGTTCCAACAAACTAGCTGTGATTGCAAGTCACATTCAGGAAAGGTATGGCTGCGGGTCCTCCCCTGCCTACTGAATGCTTCACGTTTTCAAGTGTTGGTGCCAGCTGGCACCGTATGTACTCTGCTGCTAGAAGATTCTGTGGCAGTGAGTGTAGTTGCGGCCTCAGAAGTCGGTACATATGCAGCGTTGGTAGGTGTGGATAGTGAATGGGATCCTGGTGGTGCTGGGGGTGAGATCTTGTCTGCTTACCGAAAGACTGACCATTGGAACTACTCGAGGCTCTGCAGAAGAAGAGATGTGGCCGTCTGCCCCAAGAGTCCCATGCCACTGAGGTGATCCAACACACAGTGACCCTACACGGCAGAGAAGAACTGCTCCCCAGGGTTTCTGAGGCTGTAAATCTTTCTGTGGCGGAGCTCGTAGAATTTAGCTCCCAACCTTCTGGTAGCTGCTGACTGTTTAACCACCGGAGAGCTTCTTGATGATAAAGACTTTAGGAGTATTTTTTTTTTTTTCCTTGATGAGTATTTTTGATCGTGTTTGCTTGTTGCATCACGTGTGCATGTAGAATCGACTTCTTAGTAAGCTCCAGCTCTTGTACGTCTCAGTGAAATGCCACTTTGCAATAGCAGTGAGTCTTGCATCGCAACATGTTTCATAGGAGGTTAGTGGACCGTTCTCCAGGTTCCCTGGTCCTTACAGTTACTTCCTGTGGTAGGATGAATGAGTCCGTGGACCACCAGATCCCTCATCACCCCTATGTTTTGTGTTTTTCTCCTTTTTATTGTGAATTGAGTGAAGATTCACAGAGCAGTGTGGTTTTCCATTCAACAATTCTTATGTGTTTTGTTTCTTCTCACTGATTGCAGTTTCCACAATGTAAAGTACTCATGCCGCTTCCTCCCTGTACTTTCTGTTAACAATCCGCCTTTTCCCTAAAGCTTTTGAACGTTGTCTCTGGGGAAATATTGCCCTCCCCTCCGCCCCTTTTTTTTTTAATGCTTTATTGTGAATTATGTGATAGTTTATGTGGGAGAACTTTAGTTTTACATTCATCCTATCATATATCATTGCATTGCCATGGTTACAATCCCCTCCATGCATCATCAACCAACCAAAGGGTATACCCTGCAAGCCTGCCCCCTGGTTGTCAGCACACAGCCCCTCTCCCTCTCTGGGTCTAGAATCCCCAGCTGCTCCATCTCTCCACGTCATCGTAAATGTTGCCCTTTTGACCTCAGACGGTTGCTTCTTCTAAGGTGTGTGGTTCTCCCCCTGCTGTTGCTCCCCTTAAACAAACACCTATCTGGGGTTTGACTGAAAATTCAGCCTTGGAAGTGAGTTCGTTTCCAGACCTGAAGGGTAACCCAGGGCTTCAGTCTTCTGGTTTTCACTGTCCTCTACCCAAGCAAGAAGCCTGACCACCTTGTGCACATTAATGAACCCCTGGACTGCCAGACCCATCACCACCCATATGTTCCATCAGCATTGAGTGAAAAGATGACCCCATCATGTTAGCATATCGGTGGAACTTCTAACAAAACTTTCAGTTTTTTATAATCATCAAAAGTGTCCTCTAGAAAGATGAGTGATGAAAATTGAAGATGCATGGAAACAGTGGGTCCAGTGGATGAATGCACCCCGCCAACATCAGCATCCGTGAACCTAAGAATAGCTAGAAGTTTCTGCTACCAACTGCTCTGAGAGGATAAAGTTCCAATGAGTTAGGAGAAGAGGAGGAATGGAAACAGGGCACACAGGGAGGAAGTGGGATGAGTGATGTTAACTTGTAGGGATTGCAGGCAATGAGATGAAACAAGAGGTGTGTGAATTGTCGAATGTAAACTGAGAACCACAAGAGTCATAAAGCACATGAGCTTTCTCAGGGGTCCTCGGACCATGTTTTATGACTATTAGGGTAGATACCATACACCTCGAAGAGTAAGCTAGAAGTGAGTTCGACTTTGGCACGAGTCCCTTCTGACTGTCTTGAGACAGTAGACTGGACGGCACAGCTGGAAGCTCCCCAAACAGCTGGAAGCACCCCAACATTCTGTTGTGGTGGACTCAGGTTCGCCAGTTTGCCTATTTTGTGTACTTAGGAAAACTAACTTTTTATCATATCTTGGACATCCAGAATTGGTTTTTTTTTTTTTTTCCCCTAATTAATTTTATTTTGCTGTTGGATGAGGGCAACGTGTCCAGGTGTAACTAGGTGTTTTTTTTTTTTTTTTTTTTCCGTTTCAGTCGATTCTTATATCCCGGTAAGAATGGCAGACTGGGAGACTTCTTTGGAGAGCCCGGAAATCCTTCTTCTGAATTGAATCCCTCAGGAAGTAAAGATGGAAAATATGAGCTGTTAACAGCAGCAAATGAAGTTATTGCTGAAGAGATTAAAGACCTAATGACCAAGAGTAACAGCTTTTTCCTTTCTTTCTTTCCCATGTTGCTTTTTTTCAAAAGGAGTTGAATTTGAATGCCCTTAAAGGTTTACATCAAAGATTTGAGGTTCTTGATATTATCTACTCAGACATTGTCTTAGTTATGTAGGACTGCTTTGACAGAAATACCACAAGTGTTGTGTGTGCTTTTAGTAACTAGAGATGGATTTTCTCCTAGTTTAGGAATCAGGGCACTGAGTCCAGGGAAAGGCTTTCTCTATTTAGGCTCTGAGGGTGGCACATTGTCTCTCTAGCTTCTGTTTCCTTGTTCCTTGGAGGTCTCTGTGAGGCATGACATCTGTCTTACCTATATCTGCTGGCTGAATCTCCTTTTAGATCTTGTAAGAGATTAATTCAAAATTTACCCTACGCTAAACCTGCCTCAGTAACGTAACAAAGACAACACATTCCTAACTAAGGTGATAATCACAGGCACAGAGGTTCAGATTGACACACGTATTTTTTTGAGACACAATTCAATCTACAGCAAATACTCTTACTCTTTTATAAAACCATCTTTTTGAAGTCTACATTATTTGCCGAACCCCTCTGGCATTTGACATTGTTGGCCAACATTTCCTTCTTGGAACACATGCTGTCTTCTCAGGACATCTATTGACCACCTTCTCTTCTTTTCTGGACCATTCCTTCTTAGTTTCCATTTGTTGTTTTTCCTTGGTCTTCTCTCCAAAAATGTTTTTACTGTACACATTATGTTCTTCTTTTCTTCCTCTGAATGTCTTCACCCTCTGTTGTCTTTCATGATTGTTCATATATGAACACTTGCCAATCCATGCCTCTGAGCCTGCCTTCTGTCTAGCTGCAAATATCTCCACTTTGGGCCCCCACAGGCTCTTTAAAATTCACATGCCCCAAGCTAGTTTCCAGGGTCCTGGTGTGGTGCTGTGGGTTAATGTGCTGGACTGCAGAGTTGTTTTGAACTGCAAGGTTGGTGGTTCAAGCTTCCTGACCGCTCCTAGGAAGCCATATACAGGGTCGCTATGGGTCAGAACCGACTCAAAAACATTTAACAATAACAACAACAAAAGTTTCATTATCTTCTTATCTTAGCCTCATCACCATTTCCAGTCCTTGTCTTTCATCCTTGCTGTTAACAACAGAGCAACCCTGTGTAGGGTTTCTGAAGAGTGGCTGGTGAGCTTGAACCGCCGACGTTACTGCCCAGCTCATTAACCTGCAGCGTCTACACCAGAATTTCTGGGTCTCTCATCCTCACCCACCTAGTTGTCTGAATCCTGAGCTTTCTGCTTTTTGACTCCTTTCTCCTCACACCCCACATCTAATCAGCTATGGACAGCCTCCCAATTCCACCTCTGAAACATCTCCAGAATCAGCTCCTCTCACCTGTCATCTGGTGGAGGTGGCTGTGTGCCAAGGAGTCAGTTCCAACTCATAGCGAACATGCATAGGGTTTCCGAGGCTATAAATCTTTATGGGAGCAGAAAGCCTCATCTTTCTCCCACGGAATGGCTGGTAGTTTTGAACTGCCGACCTTGAGGTTAGCAGCCTGACTTGTAAGCACTGCGCTATCAGAGCTCCTTCATCTGTCATCTAGACCTGGGCTTTCTCAGCCTCGGCACGATTGACATTTTGAGCAGGATGATTCTTTGTTGTGGGGGCTTGTTCTGTGCATTGTAGGATGCTGAGTAGCATCCGTGGTCTCTGCCTGCTAGATACCAGTGTACCCATCCTAGTTGTGACAATCAATATGTCTCCAAACACTGCCTGATGTCCTCCGGGGGCCAGAATGTCCCTGGCTGAAAAATTATGGTTCTAGATAATTCAGCACCTTCTAACTGGTCTTCTGAGTCCTGTACCCCAACACAACTTCCAAGGTTACTCTTCTATAGAGCATCATGTGTGTAAGGTTCAGCCATGTTGGAGCATCATTCCCCTCTATGGCAGAGTGAGAATCCGTTGTCTGGATGGACCACATTTCATGTGTCTGTTGATGGAGGCCTGGGTGGTTCTACCTTTCGGCTGTTGTGAATAGTGCTGCTTTGAACAGTGGTGTACCAGTCTCTGTTTGAATCTCTGCTTTCTATTCACTGTGTTTTAAAAATGAGTTTGGATATGTCACTGTTTAATTTCATTCACGGAGAAGAATGCTTTGGTTAGAAAATGATTTCAGATCAAGAAAGTACTTTAACATTTCCTGTTTAATGTTTTATTATTTGCAGGTGACATAAAGGGTCAGCATACGGAGTCTCTACTGGCAGGATCCCTTGCCAAAGCCCTCTGCTGTATCCTTACTGCCTTCATCATCCTGATGTCATTTTCTGTAATGAACGACATGTTGCTACTGAGTCTGTTTCAGCTCACAGCAGACCCATAGGAGAGAATAGAACTGACCCACAGAGGTTCTGAGGCTGTAAAGCTTTGGAAGCGGCAGCCTCCCCTTTGTCCCGAGGATCAGCTGGTGGGGGGTGAAACACCAACCTTTCTGTCAGTACCCACCAGGCTGTTCCTTCTCTAGTAAGCAGATCTTAGCTTGTCCTATTTCTTAGGACCCTGTGTGTTCACGTGGCTGGGAGACCTGAGTACTCTAAAGTGATACAGAAACTGAATTGATCCTGCCTTTGAAATGTTACAAGAGGAACTGAAAGCTCTGGAAATGGGGAGCATTAGAGAACAAGTTCCCCTAGTCTCCTTCCCAGCATGCATGCCACTGTTTCTTACTTTGATATGTTGGTTGGGTTTTTCTTTTTGTCCCGTCTTCCTTGTATTAGGGACAGTATTTGATTTTAAAAGCCTTTTACTGACCCGGAAACTTAATAAGCAAGTAGCTGCTTCTCCAAGGTGACTGGGTCTTTTGCATTTAGCAAAGGGTTAGGGGCAGCTTGCTCAGCATTTCAGATGTCTGCCCATTTGAACGTGTTCTCCCAGTCTTATATTATTTACTTATCTGTAACTTATCTTTGATGGTGTTGGGCGATTCTTTTGTCTTGATTGAAAGTATGTGGGTACCTTTGTTGTATTCCAAGTTATTTTCTGATTGACTTAGTGATTTATGGGTGAGTCTTGTATTCAAATCTAGGATCTTGTGGCTAATCACAGAACAGCCACATGGTGATCATTTTAATCTGTGGGGTATCCAAGGTCATGTTTGATGGCATTACAAACCCCAATGGAGTGCAGAGGGTTAGTGTTAGAAATCCTTGATGACTCTTGCTTGAGTGTTTATCATGGTAAAGGGGACACTGGCTTTAGGTGGAAAGTGCATTAATTAAAATTTGATGTCATTTTCCTGTTTATTATAAATGTTTATGAAATAGATTTTCTTTTTTATTCCTTAATGCTAGTAAAATAAGACATTCACAGGATGAACAAGGAAGTTAAAGGTAAGTGTCTATGTTTTCCTATGAGAGCAGCAGTCTTACTTAATTTAGTACTCTAAGGATTGCTTTTGTTGTTAGTGCCATGGAGTCGGATCCGACTCACAGTGATCCTTTATAGCATTTCTGAGGAGCGGCTGGTGAGCTTGAACCCCTGACTTTGCGGTTCAAAGAGACCTTGCAGTCCAGTGCATTAACCCACAGTGCCACATAAGAATTGTGAACTGTTTACAAATCGGCTTAAAAGTATGTCAGAAGACTTTGTGAAATTGTAATCTTTTCTGTTTCTCTTTCTAGATAACCAGGAAATGAAGTCAAGGATACTGGTAAGATTTTAAAAATCAATGCTGTCATTTACTGCTGGTGTGTTGCCATGTGCTGTGGAGTCGGTTCTAACCAAGTGATCCTGTATAGAGTCAAAGAGGAGCTGGTGAGTTTGAACTGCCGACCTTGCAGTCAGCAATCTAGTGCTTATCCTACAGTGCCACACCAGGGCTCTCACAAGCTCTATAGCCAATTAGAAAACTTAATGGGAAATACAACTCCTCTTACAATCAGAGCAATGAATATTAAATGTCTGGAAGTAATTTAACACATAATGTATAAAATGCACATGAAGAAAAACTTCAAAATTTTGAGAAACATGAAAGAACGAAATAAATGGAGGTGCATTTCACTCATTTCACGATAAAAACTTTAAAAATAAATAAATAAATGGAGGTGCAAGCTTTGCCCTTGCATGCCAATTTTCCGAAAATTAAACGGTTAAGTCAAGTGACGTTTCAGAATATCTGTTTTTGTTTTTTCCCCCTGATAGAGTGAGTGGTGGAAACTTAAAAGAGAAATTCAAAAGTTGAAAGTTAGATCCACTTGGAAGGCTGAATCTCTGAGAATAGCCAAGACCTGTGTGAAGGAGACTAGTAGGGAGGAAAGCAAATTCTAAAGCAGTCGGCTGTAGTAACAGTGTAGTGCTGGGATCCACTGCCATCGAGTCGATTCTGACTCTGATCCTATACAGAGTTTCCACGATTGTAAATCTTTAAGGGAACAGAAAGTCTCATCTTTCTCCTATGGAACGGTTTGTGGGATTGAACCACCGACGTGGTCAGAAGTCCAGTGCTTATCCTATGGTGCTGCCAGGTCCCCGCAGTACAGACAAATAGAAGATGGGAAAAACTGGAACTAACGCCACGTCTCTGTGGGAATTTGACTTTTGATATAAGCACACGTTTCAAATTAGTCAGGATCCCTGGTGGCACAGTGAGTGAAGCATGGGGCTGCTGACTGAAAGGTCAGCAGTTCAAACCTACCAGCTCCCTCTGTGGGAGAAAGACTGAGGCAGTCTGTTTCCATAGAGATTCATGGCCTTGGAAATCAAGCGGAGCAGTTCTGCTCTACCCTCTGGGCTTGCTCTCAGTCAGAATCCATTGATGGCGTTTTGATGTCTTCAAATACATGGAAAGAAAATGTACATCTCAATATAATCATGGCCTAATTGGTTGGTTATTTAGGAGGAAAAAAAATTAAGCCAGTCCATATCTCGCTGATTACACTTGAATACATTCTGGGAAATGTCAAGCAGTAATTAGTTTAAAATTTCAAGTAATAACAGCGCTAGAAGAATGTATGTATTTATAATCTTGACATACGGTGAGTTGAATGTCTTGCTAAGCATGATGGGAAACTTCAAAGATTCCTTCTCCATAAAAGGAGTCCTGGTGTGGTGCAGTAGGATAAGCTCTCAGCTGCTAGATTGGTTTGAACTGCAAAGTTGGTGGTTCAAACTCACCAGCTGCTCCTTGGAAACCGTATTACTGGATCTCTATGAGTTGGACCCAACTGAACAGCACTTAATCACAACAAGCCCATAAAAAGAAAAATCCCAAACAAGAATGAAAAAGAATATGCTACAAAAATATTTTCAGCTTACCTGTGCTGTGAGATAAAGCCCTGGACCACAAGGTCGGTGGTTCAAACTCACCAGCCACTTTTTTGAAAACCCTGTACAAGGTCTCAATGAGTGGGAACCGACTCCAGTGCACTTAATAACATCACTAATCTGACAGTTAATTATGCGATCTATAAGATCTATACCAGGATTGATAGGATTAGGAGAGAACATCTTGATTGTATCTTATATGTATCTTGATTATATCAGGATTGTATCAAGATTGACATTGAAATTTAAAGAGACAGTATAGACATAAAACCAAACGGCCACCACTTGTCTGTCTGTCGTGCTGTGGTGGATTGAGTTG